GCCCCCTCTGCTGAGGCCAGGCACACCTCTCCTCCCTACAACTCCAGACCCAGATGGAGGCAGGCCTGAGCACCCCCCGGGTCAGACCCTCCTCCTCCCCCCCCAGGCAGGCACACACACACACACACACACACACTTCTTGTCTCTGCAGCGGAAGCGCGCTGAACCTCGCTGGGGACACAGCTAAACCCCCGCCCTCCTAGCCCATCTGGCTCCACCCTGGCCCTGCCCCCACCCAGCTCCAGGAGATTGGAGCCCCACCCTGAGCAGGTACAGCTGGGAAAACAGCCACCTACAATTTAAAGAATGGCGCCAAGCACAAAGGTTTGACAGTTACTCCCCATTCAGCTTTGCTGCCTCCCTAGTGCCCCCCTAAATCCCTGCCCCACCGCCAGTGCCTCCAGGGACAACCACTGCTACAGGGCTGCTGGCCAGAGTCCGCCCCTCCGAGGCCTGTGGAACCCTCTGCAAAGCTTCCATAGCTATAGTCCCAGGAAACAATCATGCCCTCCTCCCCTAATCAGCACCTGCTACCTGCGAGGGTACCCATGGGCTTGAAAATAACAACCCCATCCCGTTTAGACATCACTTACTTGATGAAACATTTCTAGGTTTATTAGCTCAGAACCTCCTCATGACAACCCAGGGAGGTAGGCGGAGAAGAGATTACAATTCCCATGGTATATGCATATGTATTCAGAAATGAAGCTCAGAGAGGAGAAGTGTCAGGCTCACTGGTTCCCAAGGTGCAGCACACGCTCCACGGGGGGGCAATTTGATTTTAAGTGGGGGCAATTTGAGAATGAGTTAACAGTGATTTTTTTGCATTTCTTATTATTCTATGGGGCCTCATCTACAGTGTATCCTACATAATAAAAGGCTAATATGCAAATGACCAAATGGTGGAATGACCAGTCACTATGATGCACGCTGACCACCAGTGGGCAGACACTCAATGCAGGAGCTGCTCCCTGGTGGTCATTCTCCCACAGCAGCGGGAGCACCGCTCAGCCAGAAGCCTGGCTCATGGCTGGTGAGCACAGCAGCAGTAGTGGGAGCCTCTCCCGCCTCCGTGGCAATGCTAAGGATATCCGACTGATGGCTTAGGCCCACTAAGCCATCAGTCGGACATCCCCCCAGGGCTCCCGGACTGTTGGAGGGCGCAGGCCAGGCTGAGGGGACCCCCCCCAGTCCCCAAGTGCACGAATTTTGTGCACCAGGCCACTAGGTGCTTTATAAAACTCATGGCTCCTTAATACTTAGTAGTATCTACTAACCAAGACTTCTCAGGCGCCTTTCTCTCCTACACATCCAAATAAAACAAAATAAGGTCCAAAAGCCCTAGCCAGTTTTGCACAGTTGTTAGAACCTTTGCCCATAAATTGTTTGCAA